TATAAGTTCATTGAATTGAATACGCATGTACATTAAAGTCAGTTATAGCATTGCTCTTAAAAAATAATGTTTTGGACTTTTTAATTCAAGTTGTTTAGTTAATATCATTTTTAATCTCGATGTTTTTGTATGTTGTAATTTATTTAATGCATCTGTTGACCAAAACCGTGTTGGTTGGTAAAACAGTATTGCTGTTAACTCTATGGACATGATTATTTCATTTTAATATATTAAGAGGTGTTTACATAAAATGATAGTTACATCAAAATATGGAAATTACATTTATGCCTACTGTTAGGGACTGACAGCCTCAGTCACACAAACTGCATATTTTTTAATGTAAAGGTAACTGGGGCTGTTTTATTTGATTTTTTTTCTGAAGTGCACCAAGCCACAGCATTTTACAAAGCAAATAAAAGATGTATTCATGCAAGAGCTTTCACAGCTGCTCCGAGATAACACTGGGAATGTAATGATAAGGCACAAATGTATCAAAAGCCACTTGTCTCCGTTTGGCCAATGCAAAACAATCAAGAGAACAGAAGATATGCTGTACAGGACACAATGTCTAGAGTACTCAGTGGAATTCTCCTGTGCTTGGAATGGATTGGATGGAATTCTCAAATTTTGCTTCTGAGGACAGGACAGCAGATTTTACTCCTGATTATAGCAGGATGTGGAATGTTGTTGATCTCTTGAGGGAAACAGGGACCTCCTTGTCTACTTTTGTTTGATATACTTCTTGCAGCACAGTCCTAATGTGTCAGTCATCAAGGTGCTGTTTCCCGTAATGTGACTGTCACGAGTGTAAAGGGCCAGGCTTCCTCTCCTACACTTTTATTACATTTCATAACACATGTAGAAGTACTGAGGAAAGCCAAGGCCACAAATTCTGATGTCATGAGGTTAATTCTCCTGTAACACAGCACTTTTGAGCTTCTTCAAGAACCAATGAGGTTTGTTCAGCATATGAAGTGATAGTCTCTTCAGAAAATTTTGACTGAACCCCTCAATATGAATTAGTTTTATGATCTCTATGAACTTTTTGAAGCCTCACAGTGGTAGTTGCATGGACTGTCAGTGGAGGGACAGAAAGCTCTCAGATTTAATCAAAAAGATCTTCATTTGTGTTCTGAAGATGAACCAAAGTCTTGCGGGTTTGGCACAACATGAGAGTAATTAATGACAGAATTTTTGTGTTTGGGTGAACTAACCCTTTAAACTTTTGATGACATTGAATTCTTGTGATGTGGATAATTTTAGTAGTAAATAAGACGTCTAGGATTGAACATCATAGACTTGCAGGATTATATCACCTGTTGTTTTGACAAGGTAATGGAAGCGTTATTAACTTCCCACGGGATGGGTTGAAAGTCAGCACTCAATGGAAACTTGTCACTAATAACAAGCCTTGCTTATTATGTCTTTGTCTTCTGCCTTTTACAGATGCACTTTGAAGGATCCAGCAATGTCACGCTGTTGTTTGATTTCTGGGATGTGCGTGGGCCTGCAGGTACAGGGGATTTACAAACAAGACCCACCCAACGTGATCCTAAAAAAACAGAATTGCATACATTTACAGTTCTGTCAGGACCACTATCGTCAAATACGATTGACAAATAGCATTCAGTTAGGATTGGCGATATGGTTCTGTTTTGGACAAGAACTCCCTGCGCATAGAAGCAGCCTAGCATGGATAAGAGCAGGGAGAGCAGCAATAACCCCCCTTAGGGTAAACACAACTGAACCAACATGAATGTATGCAGATTTTATTCTGATTCTAGAGGAATCAGAATGCCAAACCCTGACTGACGAGAGGAGCCGGGTATGGAGAAGGGTAATTCGCTCCTGTTAAAACACGATAGCTGCTGATAATACCGAAGAACATATATATGTATACAGGACAGGTGACATGAATCAGCTGATATGAGCTTGACTAACGTGATCTACCAGAAATAACGATACACTTGAGAATGACAGCTTAGATCCCACCAGTGGATCTTGATTTTTCTTCTATACCAGTTGGATTCAAACATTGTTAACATGTTTTCTTCTACACATTATCTACACTGAATTACTGCAGTGTTATTTATTTACAATTATAGAATTTAGTAATAATTTGAATTTTTTTTTCTATTAAGCTTTGATTTATTTTTTATATTTAGTAATTGTAGGACTCCAAATTAACTTATTTAATTCAGTTATTTGCCAAGGCAGCATTAATAATGATCAAAAAGTTTAAGTTGGTTTTCACATTGGTTGTATGTTATGACACTATATTTAAATCTCAAAACAAATCAGCATGGATGTGTGATTTCCCTACAGCACTTAGCCTTATGCCTGTAACCAAATCACAATACAGTAGCACAACATTACTGGTGTGCTTCTCGATACAAAACAATAGCACTGACATTAAGAAATGCTAGTGCAAATTGCTTTAATGCACAAATGCACTAGTTTAATTGGACTAGCTTTAAGTTTCTGGGAAAGGGGGGGGGGGGCTGGGGCAGCTTCAGTTATAACGAAAACTAAAAAAAAAAAGTTTTCTGCTGACACAAACTTTAAAGGGATACTCCACTTTTTTTGAAAATAGGCTCATTTTACCACTCCCCCAGAGTTAAACAGCCGAGTTTTACCGTTTTCAAATCCATTCAGCCGATTTTCTGATATTTAGAAGAATATCAGTAACCAGACAGTTTCTGGTCTCATTGACTTCCATAGCAGGAAAAAAAATATACTATGGAAGTCAATGAGACCAGAAACTGTCTGGTTACTGATATTCTTCTAAATATATATATATATATATATATATATAAAAAAATCAGCTGAATACATTTGAAAACGGTAAAAACCCAAATGTTTACCTCTAGGGGAGTGGTAAAATGAGCCTATTTCCAAAAAAAGTGGAGTATCCCTTTAAATTGGGTTGAGAAAGCTGGTGAAATGTTAAATGTTTTTGTGCTCAAGAAACATTTCTGCTTCTTTTTAATGTTGAACATTTACTACTTTCTCTACAGGGATGGTGCTGTCGGTCTTTGTAGTTCTACTGCTCACGATAATGTACGAGCTTCTGAAAGTGTGGAAGATCACTGTCGGACAACAGAAGCCCTCTTCCGTTACACATCCATCCACACCAGTGTCATTCTCTCCCGAACAGTCGTGTTTCGCCCCTGTCATGAAGTGTCCAGAGGGAAGCTCTGCTCTGGCCAGCGGCCCCTCTGAAACCTCATTATCTCCCACCGAGTCTATCAGCACTGCTGACACCAACACGAAGAAGGGGTAACTCACAATACACAATTGGGGAACTGTTATGATCTCAATCATGCTGAAATCTGTCTGATAAACAATAAGTTTGTACTTTTAGCACTGTAACTTATTGAATATCTGCTGTCTCTTTCAGCTGGCTTCTGCACTGCCTCCAGACCGCCATACACATCCTGCAGGTGACACTAGGCTACATGCTAATGCTCTGCGTCATGTCCTACAACGTGTGGATCTTCCTGGGGGTCATCATGGGATCTGTCTTGGGCTACTTTCTGGCTTTTCCTCTTCTGAATCACATTTGAGAAGAGATGAAGGAATGGAAAACATGATCTGTTCATCTTAATTCACTGAGGACTCTAGACGAAGAGCAACGGGAAACCTGTTCGATTTTATAATGCCAGGTTTGTGTGCTCATGATGAACGCCGCGCACTTTCAACGAGAAGACGTGCAGTGCAGGAGGTGTTGAGATGTTTAGATTAAACAAGGATGATTCTCAATTTTTAAGTTTGGATTTTAAAAATGCATGAAATCTTATTTAACTTCAGTCTGGCGGAAAAAAAACATTGTTAGAGGTTTCATTTTAAACAAATAATAGCTTGCGTTAAGGACGGTGTTAAACACATTTTTACATGTGACCCGTTTGAGAACGGTGATGTGCCTCTGACCGGTTTTAAAATTATACAATTACTGATGTAATTAATAAGCAAATTTTCTGTTACACAAATAAATTTTTTTTTTAATTGTGCTCTGTGAGATTTGCTTCAGTGTGGCTGTTGGTTTTCTGTTATGAAATCACACTAGTTTTAGACCATGTGATGTGTAAAACAAACTTCCTACATGAGCCAAGATCAGGCGTTCTTGTGTCATGCTGGAAATGATTGCTGAATGGGGAACTAAACCATTGGTTGAAAAGAGTAATGCAAATCATGTGGCCTTAGTTAATGTTCACCAGCAATACAGGACGGACACTGAAACTGATTGACAGACTGAGAGCAGAAATTGGAGACCTAACAATCCTCACCGCAATATTTCAACACACTATTAAGAATATTCATACAGACGTTCTTTTTTTTCTCCCATTTTTTAGTATTTTTAAAATGAAATTTTTGTTTTACTGGACAATGTATTAAAGTGTTTAAGTCTACACCTTGTCTTAATTCTTTGTCTATGGAAATAAGGAAAATAGCAAGTTGCAGCCGTTTTGAATTTTAGATTTAGCCTAAAGGCTTTAAAACCAAAAACTAGGGCTGTGCAACCATTAATCATGATTAATCACATCCAAAATAAAAGTTTGTTTACACATAATATATGTGTGTGTACAGTGTATAATTATAGTGTATATATATATATATATATATGAAGAGTTCAGATGCAAAAGTCTCTAAATGCCATTTGAAATTTTATTCTTTAATGATGATTATCAAACTTGTATATTTAAGTTCAGTAATTTCACTTAAATAACAATTAATAGGTAATTATCATTGCCATTTAAGTGAAATCACTGAACTTAAATATACAAGCTTGATAAAAATGATCATTCTAGAAGAAAATTTCAAATGGCACTTAGAGGCTTTTGCATCTGAACTCTTCATATATATATATATATAAATAAATACACATGCATGTATACATTTAAGAAATATTTGCATATAATTATATCAATTTAATGTTCATGTGTGTTTATGTATATATATATATATATATATACACACACACACACACACACATGTATTTCTATAAAAAATAACTACAGTAACACATATATATTATGTAAACAAACATTAATTTTGGATGCGATAATTGCTGCACAGCCTTAAAAAGAACAATTTACTTTAGATTATAATGTTATGTATTACATAAACTATTTTCATAATAGAGCAAAGCATTTTAATTAGTTCAAAATGAAATTAATTTAAGAAAAAAAAGAAATGTGTATATGAAGAGTTCAGATGCAAAAGCCTCTAAATGCCATTTGAAATTTTCTTCTTTAATGATGATTTTTATCAAACTTGTATATTTAATTTCAGTAATTTTACTTAAATACCAATTAATAGGTAATTATCATTGCCATTTAAGTGAAATTACTGAACTTAAATATACAAGTTTGATAAAAATCATCATTAAAGAACAAAATTTCAAATGGCATTTAGAGGCTTTTGCATCTGAACTCTTCATATATTTATATACACTATTTCTTTGAAATAGAAGGCTTTTGTAATAACGTAAAAGTGTCACTTTTCAAAAGTATTAATTTTCACAATCACAAAAAAAAACTGACCAAACTTTTGTATGGTCCGGTACATTATATGATAAATAAATTTTCGCAACATAGACAGCATTTCAAAATAATAGTAATTTATTTATCCACTTATTTGTCCAAGGAATGCAAGGCGTAGAAAACATCACAACGAGCACGCTTTTAAAATAAATAACAGAAAATAACTAGTGAAATATTTGTGTGGTGCTAAAATGTTGCTCCGTTTAGATAAATACACAGAAAAAATGTCAACTAAAGAATGATTAACCATTTTGTGATTCCAGTAAAAACAAGAAAATCCCAGTCAGAGTAACCTTTGCCCAGCCGTCATGTATGACATCCCATTACAGAATTTCTCACATGCATGCATTACGACAACTGCACTGGAGGGTTCCCACTCCTTCCAGAAGACATTTCAAAGTTGTAAATGACTGTAAAACGTTATATCATAGCTCAGTAGCTTTGTGGAAACTATCAAGGGGAAAAACCCTGGTGAACTAAACCTAAAATGTGAACTGACTTTGTTTTATTTAAAACCTACTTCAATCCTTTGGCATGAAGCTCGGAGCTCTATCTGCAACTCAGTAATGGTGTTCCCGTCCTCCATAACATGGTGGAGAATGTGCTGGACTATAAATCTGGGTCACAGCATGTCTGTGAACACATTATAGAGGCATGCCTCAATGTTAATAGACCTTTGAATAGGTTCTAAACCACAAAGTAAAAATCACTAGAAGCATTAAAAAGCAAGCTTTCATTTATTTGAACTAATTTTCATAGTTATTGCGTAAGTGCTTAATTATGCTGCATTAATATATTCCACAGTTAACAGAATCAAACAAAACTCCAGATGGCCCCTACAAAATATTACTGTAGATTTCAACATGTCTAATTTTCCAGATCACTCAGCTGTACATAGGAATACAGTCGGGTGAAGTCTACATTTGCATTAGTTCTGGGATAATACCACTGATGTCAAGGGGTGAACGTATACTGGTTTACGTCACCAGCAACCGAACCACATAAGTGAGCACTGGATCTGTTCGGGATAATGACGTCAAGTCTTTTTGAAACCTCTGCCACATAAGTTGTGTGGGAGTCATGAGTTACATAAAACGTAAAATAGAAAAAAAATTAAGGCACACTAGGTCATAAATCTATGTATATGAGAATATTCAATATATATATATACAGACACACACACATTTCATAGATAAACATCCCGAAAACGTCTAAATTAACTGCAAGATTCGAAAATAAAATAAGTAATTTAAAATAAAATTAACGCCAACTAGGCTGAAATATCAACCATATGTGCTGCTGCTGGAAAACAAGCAAACACTTTCAGTTTATAAAAAAAAAATGTTTTCATGTAAATCTCACTCAAAGCAAGACTCTATCTGCTGTGGTTTCAATTTCCGGTTCCTTTTCTGAAGCGCTGATATCTAAATCAACGCTAGTTTTCATTCCCTCCACCAGAGTTAACATCACCAGCTCTGTGTCCACCACCTCGTCATCTGTGATTGGCTGTGGCTCTACTTCTTCTACATTCTCATTGGCTGGAGACTGAAACCCACTGTCATCATGGCGATGAGGGCTAGAGCTGGTAGAGGTTTGAGCGAATTCCCCATCAGAGTCGATGGCGCCTTCGTTCAGGTTATCGCTGGGGTCTTCCTGGATGGCGATCTCGATCTGATGAATGGCGCTCTCAATGGCGGACACGCACTGCTGCTCTTCTAAAGTCTGTTCGCTGCTCGTTGCATCTAATTCTCCGTCAACTTTTTTTGACGACTCTCTTGGCACGGTCTCCACTACTGAGGTGATGTGCTTCACCTCATCACCCTCATCCAAAGGAAACATCCCATTGGTCAATTGAGGGTCATCTTTTCCGTCAGGGTGGACAAATTCCAGCACAGGGTTAATGAGGTCTCGGATCTGATTGATGCTGTCTGGAGAACCTGGTTCTTTCTCGATGGGAACGTGCTCCACTGGGCTCAAAGATCTCTCGAGTTTTTCTGTTGGAAGATCTTGTCCCACCTCCCCTTCGTTCTCCTCTGGGATGCCGTCCACTCCCGGTACTTCCTGGCAGGACTCATAAAGAAAAGGCATGCCGTCCAGTTGGATCATGGAGACTATTTGTTTGCGTTTCCTGTTGGCCACTTCGCCTCTTTGCCTCTCCCCTTTTACTTCGTCTAAATGGCCAGCCCAGTCGATGGTGTTCTCTCCTAGCAGGTGCAGGTTGAGGTCACTGTTGGTCAGTACCATGCTGTCTCTGTATAGGTTGTGCTTTCGCTGGACCGCAGCTTCCTTCACAGCTGCAAAATTAAAAGGAATAAATGAAAACGCAATACAACTATTTTTAAGCAGTAACGTGCAGAAGTTGTGCTATATTGTGTATATTGACTCATTAATACGAACACTTGCTATTATATCTAATTATAAAATAAAAAAACCTTGCTACATGTACGGACTACTCAACAAGACTTGCACATTGTTGCCCTATTATGGGTTTGATTGCTTCTATTGCTCTCCTCATTAAGTCGCTTTAAATAAAAGCGTCTGCTAAGTGATTAAATATAAATGTTAGGGGTGTAACGGCACATGTATTAATTCTGAACCATCATGGTACGGACGTCACAAATTGGTGCATACAATCACACGATGAATACAGTCAGTCACAGGCTATCCACACTCCAATCCAGAAGGGGGCGCACACGGTAATGCAACGCTGTTTGCAAACCACCACAACAGGAAAAAGATGGCGTTCCCGGGGGCATTCCCAGACCAACCGACTATCTATACTGCGGGTTTCGATTAATTTTTGTGACTAGCTCCACTAACTTCACAGAAAAGAAACCAGGATGGCAGAAAGCAGCATTCTGTTTGTTTTCTTTATTTTACAAAAGCACAATGTTGTTTTTTTTTTTTGTGCGTGTACACAAATAAAAAAACCTATTCGAATATGTTTCACTCTGATCTGTATGACCATAAATGAGTATTTTAAGTTGTTCAGCTGTTAATGAGACAAAATCATTTGGCATTGTGCCAATTTGTGCTGTGGAAGTCTCACCATAGATATCCACAATAAAGGCTAGATATCTCGTCCGCGCTGCTGGCCAATTGAGGTCGACGTCTGCACCTGGCGGCCATCTTGTCACAGGCAGCTCGCTCAGTCGTAACTTTGTGTTTTAATGGTGCATGTACTTTTTAAATAACCATAACTTGCTCAATTTTCTACTGATTTTCAAACGGTTTGGTTTGTTATAAACGGCAGCGATGTTTATGACACTGCATACTTATGAATAAATGATCATCCAGAATTATAGCCACATTACTAACGTTTGTAAGAAACCAAAACGTTTGTAAATCAGTCAAGATTTCAACGAGACAAGAATATTTGTGTTCGTGCTGATCACTTACCTTACATCAGCTTGCCTGTGACAAGATGGCCGCCGGTGATAGAAACCCCGCCGTAAGACATCTAGCCTTTATTGTGGATATCTGTGAGTCTCATGCTGCATTCAAGACATCTCGTATAGATCGTAATTACGAGTTGAACGCACTTGAACGCCACCACAATGACGTAAATACCAGTGGGGAGCTCGGGATTTTCTTTAGGCCCCGATCTGTACGAGTTGGGGGCGTGTCAGTGAGAAACGTTCATTCAACGTTTGTTGACGGTAAATTTCAATTGAATTTCAATGTTTACTCATTGACATTGTAAGGCTTTTTCATTTATAAAGCAGGCTCTCTGCACAAAATATGATATCATTGTAATTTAAAAATTATACCCAATGATAGTTTACATTGGCTTCATAAGCTAATAAAAAAAAAAAAACATAAAATAAAAAACACACCTGGTGCACATTCTTTGTTCATTTTTTTTATTAGCAGAGTTAACAAACCTTGCTCTATTTTCGTGTAATTCATTAAAAGAAGGTACACCGCCATTTTGCTCCGACGAAACTGACTTGAACGCACCTCACGTCGTAAACACGACTTCCTACCTCTTACGTACGAACTTCCAAGGAGGACTTGAATGCAGCGTAACTACTAGAATCCAGTGATGCAAATGTGTGTTCTGGAAATGGGAAGCCTCAGATGCCTCCTTGTGGAAAGGTGAAGTATTGTCACCTGATGTAAATTAACTCTCTAACGCAAAGAAAACTAATCTCTGCACAAGTTTTATTTTTCATTCTATTTATTTAGCAATTTCATATCATAAGATGCTTTTCAGTTTTGCAGCAGATTGTGGCCAAATACCTTGTTTTTTACAAACCCTATAAAAAAAAATATATGAAAAATTCAAGAGTGCTCTGTTCACTGCTAAATACACTAAAGGAGGCTGTACTGTTCCAACTACCTCAGGGGACACACACTGTACTACGGTCTGTTAAAAATATATGAAAAAAAAAATCTAGCATCAAGGAATTGTTGCTTTTTCCTGTTGTATTGGTATTGAACAAACAAACTCATATTGAATCGTGACCTCAAATCCGACGTACTTACTGAACTGTGACTGTGTACCATTACATCACTAGCAAATATTGTCGGGGCTGCAGACACTCACCCATCATGATGTCCTTGGAGACTGACTGCAGGACCAATTCCTCAAAAATGTTCTCTACTAGGATGAATCTAGAAAAGTCCTCAAAAATGAGCTCCTTGAACTTGGGCAATTCCTAGATGTCATAGGAAGAAGAATAAAAAACATGAATATATTTCACATAAAAGGAGAGTGTTTTTTCCATATAAAGCACACTGAAACAATTTATCAAATAAATTCTAAATAATCTATTATCTATAAAACCTATACCAAATGTCAACAATCAACTAATTTTATAGAATAACAACCTGGTTTCAAATGATACTACTGCTAGTAGTAGTAGCAACAAAATAAATTAATAAATTGTAGTAAAAAATAAATAAAATAAATAAATAAATAAATAAATAAACAGGCAACAAATATTAATAATAATAAATTACTGATGATAATAATAAATTACTACATATTTTTCCCACATTTTTAAATATTAAATTTATTTTTTTGTGATATTTTTTTTTTACCAAAGCCCATATTAACATCTGACTCTAGGTGGGCTAATGGCCACTAAGAAATATAAAAAGCTAAAATAGGACAAAAAGACTAGTTTGTTCTTACAAAGAGGTGTGTAGCATACAAATCAATAAATAAAAAAAAGATGCTACAGAACAATGGCACAGAGACAGGCCATTTCATTGTACCAACCGTTGAACAGGACGGGGAGAGCTGTTTCAGCATGTATGGTATGATGATTTGAAGCAAAGCCTCTCTGAAGAACTTCTTCCTCACTGTGCTGCTGTCATAGTCATATTTCTGTGGGTCATGAATAAACAGAATTAAAATGAAGCAGGTCTTTAAAAAAAAAAAGTCTAATAACAGCAAGAATCCAGGAGCTGTGCAAACAAACCCGTTTCAGCTTTAGAGACCCAACCAACGCACTTACTTTGAGTACTCGGTCCTGACAGCGCTGGACTGTCTTGCAGAGGTCCTCCCCGCTGTTGCCCTCGAGACTCTGATGGACCAACTGCTCAAATGTGTACACTGCATCATCCATTTGCTACATCCACAAATCGAGGAATTATAAAAAAGGAAAGGTAACAGATTATCATCAACTTTGGTGGTTTATATGTAAAATGGACAATGACTGCATTTGGAACAACAACATATGTGCATACTGTACTTTTGCAATTTCTGATGCATGTTTTTTGCATGCATGTAATACCCAGACGGCCATGGGATACTAAATACCAGGATTGGATTGGGATAAAGGGAAGGGCGGATTGAGATGGAACCTGGTAAGATCATACTAACATTGATCATACCATCATCATATACCTATTCAATCTATTGTATATTTTTCATCTGAATGTCAGTACAGTCTCAATTGCCAATAAACCTGCAATAACAGATATTACCACAGGGTGGAGCTCATCAACAAACTACATCTGAAATTTCTCCTGAATAAGCCATTTGTCTCATTGATTCTTGCTCTTGGCAGCATTGCTAAATAAATGTGGACACTTGCTTTATTTCATAGCTTGGCACCAAAAATTAACAATGCAGGTTATAGAATGATTAATAGCAAATCAATTTCAAGTGCTACAGCCAAGTACTGCAAAACTTCAAGAAGTTTTAGATAATCAAATTGAATATTTAGCAATGACAAGAACAGTGTGGGTCTAAGGCAAGAGACCTGTCTCATGAGGATCTGAGCTCTCTGGATGAACACAGAAGGGCTGGACACGTCACATCTCTGCTGGAGGCCTTCTAGGTTCAACGTCTCCATCTTCTCATAGCAACTCTGCATCTTCACCGGATGGAAGGCCAACATGGAGAGCTTGTCCATATGCTAGGAATGAGCATTGAGAGATTTTGTGGTTAACTAATCCTTAAAATGCATAGGCTAATGTTGTTAATCAAGGTCTTGTCTCACCTCTCCCAGTTTCTCCCTGCTGCCATCATTCATTGAGTTCTTGCTGATCTCCACCAGCTCACGGAACAGGATGTCCCGCACTTCTGAGAATCCTCTGCTTGTGGGCTCCATGAGGGCCTCTAAGATGGAGTGGATGTAGGGCTGAACCTTGTTCCTCACTAGCTGTTCAACACGGGGTGACACCGATGCTTTAAGAAAAAAAATAGACAAATATTAGTACGCTAGAACTTGCCTTAAGAGGTGAAACCATCAAACATATTTCAAGTGTGTGAATCAAGTTTACTAGTTTATTAAGCTTTAAATTTACATGTGAACTATTTGGTGCACATGTGAAATTCACTGGCTTGTTTGAGAGACATATTGACCTACAAGGGACTTTCATGCTTATGTTATGTCTCACTTCTCAATTGAAGCGCCAAAACAAAGATCACTATAGAAAAAAACTCAATTATAAAAGCTTAAGATGATCACAATGACTCTGCCACATAAAGGGGCCTGTTATCTGTCAGGACAGGTGCTTTCCCACAATCACCTGTTCAATGTCAAAACAACCTCTATTATTCAATAAGAATAAGGTGGCTTCACAAACACACAGATAGACTGTGTGTACAATCATGTAGATTGTGAGAAACTCAAAATCATGCTGTTGAGATCATGTTGCTTGAAATGTGCTACGGGTATTTTCGGTGGAACACAGTCCCAGCTAAACAAATGACTCTTGCCAAACCTACATTATGGCAGGACGGTCAAGGCTTTTTAGGTTATAGTTGAACTAAGCTGTGTGGAACTGAATTCTAATGAAAGATGGATCATATGGAAGAATGAGACTTTCAAGCTTGAATGTTCAAAAACATTCCTTTTCACATTTTATATTATTGCTGTACAGGGCCGGATCTTGACATAGGCATGGACATGAGTCTTGCTCACACAATCTGAATTTAGGCAAAGATAGCATTAAACTGCTTTTAAACAAAGCACAATCCATAAAAACATTCTGAGACAGCCTTATGAAGGGCTTTCAGCTGTGCTGCCATTCTGGATTAAAGAACAATAGATTCGATTTCAAAATAAGAGTGTTGAACTTCCTTCTGTATCCTCAAGAAATTTTTGCTTTGTATGGTTGAATTAATCATTAAAAGTCAGCAGCAAAGACATTGATAAATAAAGTAAGATGAAATACATAGTATAATTTGCTATAATTTAATATAGTTAATTATAAAAGTTTAGCATAACATTGAGATTGCATTTTGTGTTTTTATTCATTTTGAGGAATACTGAATGTTTTCCTGCAAGTGAGATGAGTAAATGCATGTTCACATTTAGTCTAGAACTAAAATAACCATCATGTTTACACAACGCACATGTGGCATGACTTTTTTTTTTTAACCCATGTCTTGGGTGGGACTTATTTGAACAAGAAAATTTGTGATGTGTATGTTCCTGGAAAAAAAGACTGCAATAGAGGAGTTTTCAGTAAGAGTGTTCAGAAACAGTATTTACTGAAATAGAGAAGAAACCCCTTTAGAGAAGAATTTGTGCGTGTTTGTGTGATTGGGGGCTAGAGGGAACGCTAGTGATTTCCACATAGTAGGCAGCTTGGCTCTGCTCTTACCACGGATCTTTCCGGAAACATGTTCTTTGGACGTGATGATTTGATCCATATCTGTGCGTAGAGCAGCGTCCAGACGGGGGCGCTCAACCTCACAAACCTGAACCAGAGCTTCGTGTTCAGTTCGTGTCTGTGACAACACCTGCTTGTATACTGCGTCTGAGATCTGACAGGGTAAACAAACAGATGATAAACAAACCTCATACAAACTGCAGCAGATATACACATCCGTACATTCATTTCTTAAGTTCTTAATACAGTGAAAAAAAGTGAAGTTGTATTTTTTATTTATCTAACATGCATTTATTTTTAGGTCATATATATATATATATATATATGGTGTTAGGGTTCACATCGAGGCTCAATAGTTCTAAAAGGCTCTCTCTATATATATATTATATATATATATATATATATAATATATATATATATATATAATATATAGAGCCTTTTAACAATTTATACTTCTCTATACCTTGAAATGGAATCCATTTCTTTTTTATATCTATTATAAACCAATAGATCTATCATCTATCTATTTCCAAGAAAGTATAATACAACTATAAAAATGCTTTGCATATATTTGTGTAAATGATAAGATTAATTTTTTACAGCTTTACAATTTACATATGAGAACCGACCAGCATCCAGTCCTTCTGTCTCTGTTGTAGTTTTCCTTTCAGCCGAGGTACGATCAGATTCCTCAGTTCAGGGTGCAAAGTCTCCATCACCAGGTTAGCAAGAATCTAGACACAAACAGATGCGAATGAGGAAAAAGCTTTTGAAACCTAGTGGTTACACAGCAACTGGAACTACAATTTACTTAAAGATGGCATGACAAAATTTGAATACTGCTTTAGAAAACCAGTCAGACAGCTACGAGGGCATCATTAACTTTATACCAACAGCTTTGTAGCCTACAGTCTGCAGTCTATGATGGCATGGTTACCGAAGATATGCAAAACTACAAAGTCAAATGAGAGCAATGCCTCTTCACGATGACTCTCTTGGTTTAGTCCTCAGTTGTAAGTCGCTTTGGATAAAAGGGTCTACTAAATGACCAAGTGTAAATGTGAATAATTCTTAAAGCGTTCATACCCACAACATAGACGCCCATCACAAATGGCTACTTTGTTTATGCAATGACAGACAGAACAGAAACAACCTTTGACATGGGGAAACGCGTCTGTGTGAAATCTTTTCACGTGTTTTCAGGGATGAGATAGTTTTATCATAAATAACACGCCATAAACATGACACGTTTACTGTAAATATTAGGATTAGTTCACACCTTAATGTTACCTGACATCAACCAATGTGTTTGATAGTGAGAGAGAGAGAGGAAGCGGTCAAGAGGTCAGTAGAAAAGGGGCTTCTTTATGACTTGTTGGTGATGGTGTGGAGCAAATGACTGACATTTATTAGCTGGTCACCTGTGAAACATCCGCCCACACCATATCCATAAAATTGCACACCTCTAGATCACACTCATATATGCGAGTAATGGCTATAATCAAGTAATTCAACTTAAATTAGCCAATTGTATTGTTGCAGCAAAGGTTTTAAGCTTGGGTGAACAAACCAGTATCAATAACTTTAAGTTTGATGTTTGAGTGAATGGCATTTTAAGTTCTTCCTAGATTCATGAGCTTACAATTTCACCCGACAATGGTAAATAGTACAGAATGGCTTTCACCCCCTCCACTGGCCCGTTTCCATGGTAATGCAGAGGGGCCAGGTGGGCAGTAACACCCTGCAAACCCCTCACAGAAAAACAAAAAACAGACGGCCCACACCCAGCAGTAATAACAGCCCACGCAGCCGTTTCCAGAATGGTGTCACGTCCAGGCTGACCGTGACGCCCTATATCACTGTTGAGGGCAGGATGAGGAGGAATGACCATGTCTCTCACACACACAAAATGTCAATACCTTCTTTATTTGCAACTCATAGTAGAGGTATTAATTGAGCTTACACACACAAACAGCTCATTCATAGAAAACATTTCCTGGGTGTGGTCTGGCGGGGAGCAAAACATAACATTTAAAGTCCAAAACAAACAATTTCTTAGGAAGGTGCATGTGTGCTTTTAAAGGAATAATCCTGGTTTACTACAACGTAAGCTACAAAACTTAACACTTCTGATGCGGTCATCTCTCTGTTGGTAAAAATAAACTCATTAACAATAATGTACAATAAGTGACGTCAAATTATTGATTAAATCGCATGTCTTGTGACGCTCCAGACTTCAATGTGCACAAATTGAATGGGATTTCAAAGATATTCAGTGGTATTTAATGAAATTCAGTTTACGCTTTTGAAGTAAATAACAGAACTATATATAGTTGATAAAAATATATTTTGAAAGAGTCATAAAAAAGAAAAACCTTCAGCTTAATTCCAGATCACAATGTGCATCAAATGACACTAAACGTCACATGCAGGTGAGAAATTATTTTAATTTGAATAATATTCTTGAAAACACTCAAATTACTTAACTTACATATTTAGGATAAGTATCAACAGGATATTTTAGTGTTATGCAATTTTATGAAGAGAAAGGAAGAATTTGAAGGGAAAAAATATTTAATAATAAACTTTCGTTTCAAGATTACAGTTACTACATTCATTTTGTAAAAATTGTAGCTGGATTGTGGAAAAGAAATACAAAAAAGGAACTCAATTATGCATTATAGGTCCTCTTTAAGGGCACTGCATGGGTGCGTGTGTGCAAAGAAGAGAGAAAGTGTTCTAGGCAACCAGAACCCAATCATTTTAATGACTGCCTGTTCTGCATTTCATTCAAATCTGTGCATCCAAGTAAGAAAGTGAGTTGGATAGGCTCACTTTAATATCTAAACCTATTAGAAACTAAAAATGTTATTTCCAGCATATTATGACTGAGACGGCAGGATAAACCACACAGACCTGACCATAACTCACCCCTTTAATGACACATTCTCAGCTGTCTCTCTGCTCGGTGGTTTAGACATTATTGAGGGTTTGTGTTCTACCGTTCTAGAGCAGATCTTAAATACAGAGTGATCCGTCAGACTTAAAGATAAAGCTTAAAAAGAGCTAGTCTTTTAAAAATGGCCTTCGGGTCAGACAGAAAGATGGAAAACATTGTATTTTGGCATTTATTTTAAAGTTTGGGAAGGAGAAATGGGTAATAAGATGTTATGATGTCACAAATATTTTTGTCTTACTTATTCAAAAACTTGGTCCGCCCAAATTAACGATGTTATTAAGTACACATGGAGGTTAGGTCATATTAGATAATAGTGTACAGGTTTTGGATACTCTACCTACCTCTTAAAGCAACAGTACAAATGTCAATCGAAGTCTCCACAGCAACAACGCCAAAACGATCAACCTGTCTGCTTGTAAATTTACTTTTTTTTTTAAACCTCAGCTTAAACGAACATCTGATGGAAGTTGGTATGAAGTGGTTTCTAGCTGGTCTGGGTTGTTGGTCTAGAGCTTCATTACAAACTTAACCTGTCAGACATGGCTGGTTAGGACAGGTAGATGACTTTGAAACACAACTTGACCACCTTTAGCAGGTAAACCTGGTTTTTGACCTAGATTCTCCATTGCCAAAGTTCTCAGTGAAATAGTTACTTTGAGAGTGTCAGCCACACCTCAGACAAAGTCTGGGTACCCTCCCACCTGTCTGGGACACATAAAGCCAAGATTGAGAACATTCAGAGAGAACTCAATCCAAATGACCCAAGGAAAACAGAAGTGCCCAGGGATAGAGAGGAGGAAAGAACAGAGCAGACAACTCTCTCAGTCCTTTCCAGGGAGGCTCTGATTTCTCCTCCATTCTTATTCCCATGGGTCAAAGAGAGTGTCTGAGGCCCACTAGGCACTAAACAGTACCTTAAAATCACTAAATATACTGTACAAGTTGCAGTATGAAATGAAACCATCACTGGAACGATGCATTTTATATGCAAAGTATCCTGTTTTGTGTGAAGGATGTTTAATTGTGAGAGCTGTCAGATGCTCCAAACATGAATGACCTTCACTAACCTGTGGTTGGTTTCCACACATCAAGTCCCAGGTGCCGTAGTGACCATTGGCTTGCCTGTAGAGGCGTAGGGCATCTGTGAAAGCCGGTGTCGATACCTTGGACTCTTCCGACAGTCCTAGAGAGGTCAACAAACATAACATGTTACAGATCAACTCTTAAACTCACATGGTTGATGCTAGTGGTTCTCAAAGTGGGGTCCATGACCAATAGCCGGGGGGGTCCGCGTAAAAAATTTGCTAGGCTAAGGCTACCATTTATTTTAGACTACAGCCTGATGCGTTTGTTATCATCTGAAACGTGCAGCAACATATTCAAAAGTGATTTATAGCCCAATGCATTTAAATCGCAAACAGGCAAAACATAAGGTAGACACTTAAAGGTTTTTAATAGACATTTCTCATGTTCGTGCTACAAATAGTCTTTACGCTAGGTTTCGGTTCATTTTTGTGATGTGCTTCAGTTCACACAGACTGAGACGGCAGAAGCACATCCTGAGCGTTTTCTTTTACAACTGAAAAACGTTTTGTCGTAATTTTTGAATGTAAAAAAAAAAGACACCCAGTTATTAATGTCTTACTCTTGTCTGTATGACCATAAATGTCAGGGTATTTTAAGTTGTTTCTGCTATGAGGAAAAGTCAACCAAACATCGGAAAAGATATTCGGCTCGATTTAAATTGTCTGTTGTTTAATATGTAGTCTGCAAAGATCAGCATGACCACCGCCTTAGTCACACTGGTGTTATTCCAAAACCATTTTTTTGCGTGTGAAGGATCCGGTTTTTTATTGGGTGGTGGATATTGGGCCACAAATGAAGTACAAATCCTTGTTTACATAATAAAATAATAGTTTAGCATCAAAACGCATGCAAATATGGAAACATTTGGATGTGTGCCAAATGAGAGAGGAGCCCAATGCCAGTTTCACTTTAAATAAATTTGTTTAGGCTTTAAAACAATGTTCTTTGTAATGAATGCCACTATAATTTAATTTCTTTATTTTCATAGGCCTTTTTTTCCTAAATAGGCTACTGTTAAATTCAAATAATTTATTGTGGAGTGAGGGGAACTTGCATGTTTATTATGTTTGTAAAAATTGTACTGGTACTGGATAATAATAACCAATAAAACAAGCATATGGTAAAAATCAACCAGCTTTTGAGGTTTTCCAAGCTGGTGAAAAATGGTAGACCAAGTTTTTGGAGTGATTTATTGCTGGTCCATTAAGTGGGTACAGCCAGGAAGATGAATGAATTATGATATTAAGAATGAGTTGTGCTCAAGGAAAGGAACTGCACTAAAAAAAAAAAGACCATCTTTACTTGGAGACCTCAACATTTAATAAGAGTCTATGGAAACTACAGCTACCACCACTCAAGCAGAGAACCACACAAGACCTAAAGTGAAAAGGCTTTTTGGAAAAACACTTAAATCATGATATAATTATACGATACTGAAGTGAATATGGACCACTCCAAGAAGGACCACTGATGTAAACACTGTGCATCAGAGCTGCTGAAAGAAACCCAATTTGCCATGTAGATAAATCAAACAGCACCAAACAGTCAGGCTCTCTGGCTGATACCAAGTATCAATCTGAGCAGCTGTTATTTGGGGAGATTTGAGTCTTTTGGGACATTGATAACCTTTTAGAGTTGCTTTCCTAATCCCAGCAGGAAGTGAGTGTGATCCATAAAGTTACACAAGGAAAGACAAACACAGATGGACATGAGCAATGTCAAGCTGCACAAACACTCACAAGACAGGAGCTGATGATTAGAAATGTGTGTGTACTGCAGTGAGTTTCAGATTGGCCGGCACAAAGACAGGAAGTCAGCAGTGAGAGATGGAGGGATGGAGTGTAACAGTCTGTCAGGAACAGGAAATCCACTCAGCGTTCATTTTCCAAGACTTTGAGAGCGACAGAGAGAGAGAGCGCGTGACCGAGAGAGAGCGACACAAACACAGAATATGGAGGAAATTAGAAAATAACTAGCTTTTCTTGGCATAAGCCCCATGTGGAAACACTAGATGTGTTTGTCAGCAGTCTGTTTGGAGAAAGTCCCTAGAGTTCTGGGCTTGATAAAACAAAAATAATAATAATCAGTATCAAACCCCATTGTCCCCTAACACATCCACTGGTAATATCACCAACAGTCCAAGAGACACCTTACATCAAAAGTTAATTTGAACGTGTGCGTGTGTGTGTTTAATGTTGGGTGAAAAAAGAGCTGTCTGCTCTCGTTTTCTCCAGCGAGCTGGCAGGCCTGAGAAACTCAATGCAAGCAAAAATAGTACATATGGTAGAGTTTAGTGTGGGCTTCCTCTGGCACGGGACTGCGCGGTGGTTAGCCGAGACTCCTGGGATGGCTGGTTCCCAGGGTTGCTCTGCCACCGCATGTGTGCACGCTTACCATTACGGTTTCGCTCACTGGAGCGTTTCTTAGTTGGGTCAAAAGCAAAAGAACTACACGAGTTTCAAAATAAATGTCTCAATGCATCAATAATGAGAAGCCAAAGACAACATAGCTTTTAAATTACATTTATTTCTAAATCTTTAGGAAGCAAAATCAAATAATTCCACCATAGATGGGCTTTTACAAGTAAAATTCACTTAATTTAAAATTTTAAACATTTTTTACTTTTGGTTTCAGTATAAGTTTATAGATAAATATCTATAACTAAATTAGTTTAAAGGGGCCGTACAATGTGTACATCAAATTGTCAAAATCTTAATAAAAATGCCCATTGAAACAAAGCAGGAAAAAAAGAAAAGAAAAAGGTTGTGATTAATATATGATATCTGCCCACATTTTTACACCAAGACACCTACTCACTGTACAGAAACTTGTCCTGTCCAGTAAAGGTAAGGTTATAGAGAGAAAATAAAACATTTCTCTATACTGATGTGCAGAGTTTTTTTTTATTGAATGAAACGTAATTAATTTTGCTTGAACGTTTTCTATTCTATCACCTTTGGAACTAGTGGTTCATTAGCAAACTTTATAATAAAGGATTTAAAAATACTAAAGAAAGAAAAATCAATACACAAACTAAAATAATATTTCTACACAGTCTGAAAATAAGCTGCATTGTCGTAATTACTGCAGAAATGCCAGAATTAACTTAGCATATATGGGAAGTATCATATCTAAGTCAAGAGCTCTTCAGGTTCACATGTGGGCGTTAACTAAACGGATGGTCAAAGGGTGCCTATTACTTAGTGCAAAAGACTGTTATTAAATTTCAGCTGAATTCAAAGTGTGCCATCTGATGGTGTATTGCAAGTGTCAACAATTCCATATAGAAAACTGAAATTCTCCTCTACTTCAGTTTTAAAAACCGGTTTGTTTTCTTTCTGCCATGGGTCTCCATACTATGATGTCATAATGGGTGTGATATGATGGATTACCAACTGTCCCAGTTGCCAATGAGACCGGTATGACTACAACAAAACAAGTGACTAACAACCACCACAGATTGTCAGAACAATGACTAGAATACAATTACTACATAAACAAAAATGTTCAGAATGCTAAATTTCACACTGAATCACCAATGGTGTAAGCTTTCCATTATTTTGGTCTCATTCCAGAAGGTTAGACAGATCATGTATTGGGATCACACACAGACTAAGTTCAAATTCTGATAGCTAAAATAGTGTGCATCTGTGGTTTGCTTTATCTTAGCTCAATGAAAGGCCTTTGTGTGTGCGAGATGGAGTATAATTCAACTGGATTTTGTCAATTGCTGCAATAAAACCCAAGCATACTAAGCACCTGCTGTAAAACCACAGCTTTGCATGTGGTTGATCTCTGCCCTCTGGTAACCCCCGGGCCAAAACACAGAGTTGCATTCTCACATTTGCAGAGCAACTACCTCCAGGCAGGTCTCTGGGATTTTGCAGAGCCCTTCCCTGCTGCCTCAAATACAAATGATGTTCATTATGTAACTAGCACTCACGACTGTCTGTTTTGGCCCGTTACCGAGTCAGGCGCTGTACCTCACCTTAAGATTTTAAAAAGCCTGGAGGCAAGCTAGAGATCTCATATGTTTGCCGTACATATTGATCTGGGACGAAGTCCCTAGTTACATGTTAATTTTAAATCAATATGCAAAACGGGCTGAGGAACAAAACTTCCTCTTGAAGACGAGTCAACATTCCTTATCTTATTGTGCATGATTACTGGCCACACTATTTAAAAAAAAAGAAGAAAAGGAAAATAAACGCTACATAAATCTATCAATGTAATAATAACCTGCTTCACCTATGCTTTTAGGTGATGCAAGCTGTGCAGACTATTGAAACAGCTATTGTTTTAAAGGGATACTCCACTTTTTTTGGAAATAGGCTCATTTTACAACTCCCCCAGAGAGTTAAACCGTCGAGTTTTACCGTTTTTGAATCCATTCAGCCGATTTTTTGATATTTAGAAGAATATCAGTAACCAGACAGTTTCTTGTCTCATTGACTTCCATAGTATCCTACTATGGAAGTCAATGAGACCAGAAACTGTCTGGTTACTGATATTCTTATGGAAGTCAATGAGACAAGAAACTGTCTGGTTACTGATATTCTTCTAAATATCAGAAAATCGGCTGAATAAACGGTAAAACCGAACTGTTTAACTCTGGGGGAGTTGTAAAATAAGCCCATTTCCAAAAAAAGTGGAGTATGCCTTTAAGCTATTATTTATACACCATTCCGTTATCTAAAGCCAATAGTACAGTTTAATTGAAATATCATATGATAAGTAATCATAGAAGCATCATCATTTAAAATCAAGGTTAAAATAGATTCTTACTCCTTAAAACAAACTACTTTTCAGAATGAGCTCCTAACAGAAAAATCATGCCCCACCCTAAAAAAAAAAAAACATTGTCACCCATTTGTCACAAACATGAAAAAAAAAAAAAAAAGTTACAATATGGAAGTAAATTTGTTTGCATTATTTCTGCAGGTAATGCAGCAGGAAGGTCACTGTCCCAATGAATGGCTTGAAAGTCATTATTCAAAAATCCAGTTAACAAGATCAATCTCTGACTGAGGAGAGCAGGATGGGTCTGGGTTTCCTCAAAGTGGACAAACAAGTGTGAAGGAATGCAAAATAACTTTCATGATTCTTACAGGCCTCTTCAGAATAGGCAGTGAGCAATGTATGTTCACGGTTTATTAGACGCACCCCTAAATTATATTCAGCAGTCTCAGATCCCAGTGATACCAAGAGGTATTTGATGTTATTTATCTGCCTAAATTGTATGGTATCTGGTTTTGAAAAATTTGTGATCCACAAAGCTAGTAATATGCTGTCATGTCTTGACAAGCCCAACTGAGAGTGCCTCTGACCAAATGTCAACACCTTCCCATAAAGCCCTGAGGTAGATCAAAGGATTTTCAGTTAGAAGTCAATGACTGGCAACATGTTGGAGCTATGCAGCTCTGCAAGTTGTATTTATATATATTCTGTTTTATATCCCAATACATATTAAATCGTCATTAATTCATGTGATAAAACAACATTTTCTTTGGATTTACAAAGTATTCAGTTCCAAAATACCGGTAAACTCTATGATGTAATTAACCAGACGCTTATACCTTGTTCCTGAAGAATGCTAGCTATTATATTATATGTGACAGTTTGTTGTTGTAATAGTTGTTGACCAATCTCTTCATCAGCCCAAATGAAGAGAAGAGCTTTAGTTTCATTATCACTCCAATTAAAAGACATTTGTAATCAGTGCTGAGTAAATGCATCATCTGTGTCATGTATGAATGGCCCAGAGTAATTGCTCTTTCAACGGCTTCTGATTGACCTAAATCACTTAATTCAGCACGTTCTGGCCTGGTGCATGCAAAATACCGGTAATCTTCATTCTGCGTTCACACAGCACATACACTGGTAATATTTACAACTTCGCTCTGTTGCCGGAACCACTTTACCAGTACATTTAAAAAGGTCCTGTTCACACATGATCTGTTACTGATCTAAGACTTTGTGAGAAAGGGGCTGATATCAGTGCATTAAGGATGAATAATTCTGTAAAAAATGAAAATTCTGTCGTCATTTACTCACCCTCAACCTGTATGAGTTTCTTTCTTCTGCTGAACACAAAGGAAAATATTTTGAAGAACAATTGGAACCAAACAGTTGTTTTGCGCCATTGACTTCCATAGTAGAAAAAAATACTATGAAAGTCAGTGGCACCAAAGTTCCAATCGTTCTTCAAAATATCTTCATTTGTGCTAAGCAGAAGAAAGAAACTCGTACAGGTTTACAACAACTTGAGGGTGAGTAAATGACAGAATTTTCATTTTTGGGTGGAGTATCCCTTTTAAGTAATTTCAAAGGCATTCAACATTTCAACCTGTGTTAACCTTCCCCCCCCCCTCACAAACACAGACACACACCCTGTGGTGCGATTTGAAATATGACAATGAGCCAGAAGATTTGAGGGTGGAGCTGAAGGTATTATAATACTATGAATTATTACAAAAGGAGAGACTTTATAGATTATAGGGGTAAAAAAAAAAAAAATTGACTCTCTTAAGGCCTATTTATACTTCTGCGTAGGGTGCGCGCAGTAGGTACGGCGTAGCATACGCACAGACGCGTCCCATTGCGCGTACCCTTCGCCGTCGCCTGACGCGCACCTCCTCAAAAATGTAACTACACGTCGCGGCGACGCGGACCGCAAGATCGGTGATTGGTCGGCTTGGTAACATCGCATTTCCTCCTACGCATTTCCGCACGTACCTTCTCACGCATTTCCTCCTACGCATTTCCACACGTACCTTCTCACGCATTTCCTCCTACGCATTTCCACACGTACCTTCTCACGCATTTCCTCCTACGCATTTCCACACGTACCTTCTCACGCATTTCCATCACTGTCTATGATTTCCACACGTACCATCTCCTCCGACGTCTTCTCTCATTTCTGCCTTTCAGTTTTAGTAATTTCACTAAAGTGAACTGTTTTTCCACCTCAATAAGCTCCAACTCCAACATGATCCACTCTCTTTCAATCGCTATTGCTTGTAGTACCCTAGCCGCGAGGAATCTAAACACAGTGGAACATTAAAACTCTCCGCCGCCAACTAGCGTTTTGGAGCAGTACTGCAGAGCAACAAGACCTGAACGCAGAAGTATAAATGCTCATAACGGCGTCGCCTACGTGCGTAGCCAACGCCGCACATTACAGCGTACCCTCGACGCAGAAGTATAAATTGGCCTTTATATGCATCGCAATGCGGACATGGACGATTCTGAATCGATTCACAAATGTCAAAAATCGTTAAAATCAATAGATTTGCATTTATAATAACGTAGAATTGACAGAACGTGAAAGACGGAACTCCGAACTGCAGTGCCCCGACCGTCTGAGGCGTGCACAGAACAGAGACACGATGGCTGAGCACAAAATCCAAACACCCTCCTCGTTAATAGCTGACGTGTGGAAAAGCCCACTAGTTGTAAGCTTTGTAGAGTAATATTTCGGAAACACAACAAATATGAAAAGCTATATTACACGTTTCCACCCAGAGGAGGAAAAACACTAGGCTGTACCAGTCGTTGTTATATTATTAATTTACAAGTATGCTGCTAGCTCAGGCACACATTTATTTTTCTGTTGGTTCTTTGCAATGTTAATAAAATATATTGTATGTTAATTCTTTATGGGTCATTACTTTGTACTTTTAAAGCAAAGTATTTATAGTCACAATAAAAAAAAGATTAAGATAATCGATAATTGATTTAGCATTGAATCGCAGCCCTTTGAATTGTAATCGAATCTAATCGTGAGGTTTAGAGATTCCCACCCCTAATAGATTATGTTTCATTGACAGGGAGGATAGTCTCAAATCTTGTTGTAGTAAAGTAAATCAGAAATAACAGAGTACACAAATGTTCTCAAAGCTCGGTTTTCATGTAATTTTGGAGCACAGCAAAGTAGTTGATCTGGCAAAATCTACTTCTACATCGTTTTTAATTTCCCCCAAACAAACTAGAGGTACACTCTCGACAATGTGCATCTTTAGTGCGCACAAAGCAACACAACCACTGTGTTCTGTGAATGTGATTTAAATGAGTAGATAAGAAAGATCTTTTTAAACTCTTTTTAAAGCAGATACACTAAAAAACTAAAAATAAATGTGTTATGTCAAAACAGCAGGACTTTTTTTTGTCATTCATTGTGATGGTGACTCACCGTTGTTGCTGTGTCTCACACAGTCCTGGAAGACGGCATGCCACTTCTTCTGTTCTTTCTCTGTCATCACACAGAAGTAGTGATGACGGGCATAGGGATGCCACAGGATGAGGGGAAACTGTGTGGGGTACTTCAGAAATGGGGCACTTGCCACTTTGGCCTTTGGATCTAAAACAACAGACACAATAGAAGATGAACACAAATTCCCTGAATACTCAGTATACAGAAGTATAGTCTAATCAGAGAACTCATGTGGAACCGAGGATTGAATCACCAACCTTTCGGTTTGTAGACAACCCACATGAACCACTGAGCCACTGCCGCCCCAGTCAGTGTTTCCCAACCCTGTTCCTGGCGGCACACCAACGCTGCGCGTATTCTTTGTCACCCTAATCAAACACACCCATCTGATTATGAGCTGATGAGTTGAATCAGGTATGTTTGATTAGGGAGACTAAGAATACGCGCAGTGTTGGTATGCCGCCAGGAACAGGGTTGGGAAACACTGCTTTAGATGACAACATGACAAAAATAATTTCGGATGTACTGAGGAATGTGCAAATCTTTTAATGCATTAACATGCATTGTAACTAACATTATTAATACATTTAAATGCATTATACATAAAAGCTTTAAATAATGTGTTACATTTTCAAGATAAATCAGTAATTCTGTAATTACGTTTTTTATTTCCTCCTAATGTACATATAATTTTTAAACCCTACTTGGACTTTAAAAAATGATTTTGTACTACATTCCTATAAGAATTCTAAGATTTTCTAAACAACTTATTTTTGTATCATGTTATTTATTTATTAAATTAATTCATTTCTTACCACTCAGGTTATTGTTAAGAAGCTCCAGGTACTCCTCCATAGAGGTTAGGGCTCTATACCCGGCACAGTTAATGACCCCTTTGGACTGTAGACCTCGATCATGTGCCTGTAGAGGAAGCAGACCTTTCAGAATCCATCTGCAGCTGGGGAAATGACATACAGTACATGTCCACTAACAGCAATGCAATTTAAGTGAGGTCCAATAACAATAAGGCAAGCTAAGCAAAAGAAAAATTATCTTAATGTAGTGGTACACGATATCAGCCGCCGATATTTGACGTGTGTGTAGATGTGAATGTGGGGGCGGGGATGTTTGTTTTTGCATGAGCGCATACATTACAAGTGCAAGTCCTGTCAGTTTAAACATCAAGTGCAAGACTGGAACTTGCGCGCTGTTTTCTGTCAGCCTTAGGCGTATTTTTGTCCCGCCAAAGCCTTATTTGACCGGCGAGTGATAGATGACTGACTGTAGTGCTTGTTTAATAGAACGAGCAGGGGGAGTGAAAGCCACAGTCGCGCGCGCACTCACCGTCTTCAAACAGTCTTGCTCTCTCTCTCTCTCTAGTTCCCTCCCTCACGCATATTAATGAATAGAGTTGACTGAATATCTGTTGGTAAAAGGTCGGAAGACCAAAGTTTTTTTTTGTGAATTGTGCTAAAATAAAGTTGCCTTATCTTCTCTAAAAAGCTTTCCATACAAGCAGATGGCATAAGCCACACTTTCAATAAACAAAAAATATATATATCAAGGGATGAAATGTTTTCTGTGTCGTGACAAGTGCGATGTCCTAAAATGCCTGGATAATCACACAACGTGTGCCGTCTATATGGATTTACTCCATGACAAAACCACCCCAGTCATTCTAGAATGATTCATTCTTTCCAAATTGAGCTTCAAGTCATCTGGTGAAATTGCTTTTGTATCACAGAAAAATAAAATATCGCATTTTTTACCAATATCGTACAGCCCTAATCCTCAATCCTATGTGTTTTCTATACAGAGATATCGACATTGGTAAATATCGGTATCAGCCATAACAGCAATAATATTGGTTATCGATATCGCCCACAATTTTCACATCAGTGCTTCCCTATCTGAATGTTAACATTTAATTATCTGAGCTGGGTGTGTTTGTGGTGAATATATATATATATATACACAAAAAACACTCAGCAGTTTACACTCACCGCTTTGCTCTCATACAAGCCAATGTTGTAAGAGTCGCCCACGTACAAAAAGCGACTCCTCCATTTCTTGCTCTCTTCCAGATACTGAAACAGACCTCCGGAGAAGATGGACTTGTTCTTAAGAGGGTCCTGTGATGGGAACAAACATTTTAAATGAATGTGAATCAAAATCATTGTCCAAGAAGAAAGCATGACTAAACAATACAATGAATGATGTTTAGAAGACCAACATGAAACACTCCCAACAGTCTGGAATAACAAAAAGGCTAGCTCAAGATGTGTTTATATAACATTGATCTCAGTGATTCAGCCTAAAATAAGAAATGGGCAGAGCAATTGGTACATAAAAGGCATTCAAGGTTGTGTTATGTCTACAATCAAAACCACAGAGTTCTGCTAATGGATGCCCTCGGTGAGTGAACATGCCTTTGAACAGGGTTAATTGGTTAATCTTTGAAACAAAATCCAAAAAACATACAGACAAATATTTTAAAGTCCAGCTGTCTTGGCTCAAAACAATTGAGGGACTTCAAAAATGATTGTGCACAGTTCTTGAGAAATGTTTTTCTTGGCTGTGGTCTCGATTTCTGTGTGGAGTTGAGATCAATGACATCATGGACAATTGACTGTTTGAAAGTTTAAAAACTCAGCAGCCTTCAATTGTGAACTTTTTTTCTCTTTGGTCTCCAGATTAGTTAAGACAACCGGGGGACTCAGTTTCTTCGCAAGATCATCTCTCAAGCCCAATTCAAACTGACAGTTGCTGTTTACATGCACACCTTTTGTTTCAATCCGAATGTATTCATTATGATTGATGAATCCGAACGTAGTGTTTACATGAACGATAAATAAAGTGATCGGGTTGATGTGTGCGTTTATATCCCACAAGCTTCTAATCAGAATTGATTATTTGACATGCACACACTGCATGAATGAACAGTTTCCCGCTATTTGTGCTGTTCTCCATTGCTCGTTTCTTTGTTTTGAAGAGCAGACTTAATATTTATCCATTTCGGGTCCTGATTAGGAAACGACAAGGACATGAACTGTTATGCCATGCTGCTTATATTTAGCAAATAGTAAAAACACCCCTTCCTGCGCCCAGTATCAGTGGATGAGAGTATGAAGTGAGGACTGATGGGAATTCCATTCACAGACGATAAAGTGGTAGGCGAATTTAGAATAACACAAGTCATTTAACATTTCTTTTAACAACTGCAGCACGTTCCGCGCATCATACGTCATTTTGCCATTTCAAAGTCATTGCACATACGCAATCTCTCGATTGGATGAGAAAAGGAACGAACCACCCCTTTCAATCCTAAAGAAATTTCAGGAGCTCAATTGGATCAATTAAGTTGTTTACATGAAGGCTTTCAGTCTGACTGAGCTGTCAAATCCTAATCGATTATTTGGTTGCATGTAAAAGTAGCCAGTGTGCTGCTGTTTGATCAAAAACTATTTGATCCATTTTTCCACAGCAGAAAAGCTGCTTTAGGCTCCTTAGATCTGCTGACCTCAAACCAGAAACAATTAGCATCCGAGGCCAGGAGAAAGGGAGAACATCCAAACAAGTAAAGTTTTCAAAACTACTAAATAGTCTACACTGGGAATGCCCAAGGGGGCAATACATTACCCGTTGATGGACAGAAGGTCCAGCGACATTAATGTTTCCCCTGTCTATATTAATAAAATATAGATTTGCTAATATTACTTATTTGAATGGATTGATATGCTCTTGACAGTTGCATCAACAATTCATTATTTTTTCCCAAATAAAAACAAACAAAGACAGTAACGCTCAGTTCATTTGTGAGCCGCTTATGTTGTTAGTTATGTCAATATTCATCACTCAAGTCAGTGGAAATGTGGGTTGGCACCAGCACCAGCATAAATGTGATTGAAAAGGAGCTGACTCAGACTACCCAAGATCCTTTGATTCATCAGGTGAATGGCGAATTAAGTCTTTATGTGCTTTTATGTGCGTGTGCTATTCAGGTCTTTGTTACGGTTATTTAACTTGTGTGAAATTTGTTCCACTTCCTCTTTACAGATTCAATGTCAATAAGAGCCTCCAAATGAAATGTCCCAAAAAAAAGGAAGAAAAAGCAAGGAGGCTTATTACTTACCTCATTTTAATATGGGGTGGGCATTTCTTTGCCATTTTATTTTTGTTCTGGGATGTAAAGGTGAAATTCATGGAAATATGAGGGGCTTTACCTTTCTATGTAGTAGTTGTGTCTGGACATTCCCTCCTCCTTCGATCTCAAAGCGCACACAGTTGAACAAAGCCACGGCGTACTGCTGCTCGTAAAACCTCCCAAACTCTGCCATCACGGCACTGGTGCGAGCTAGGTTGGAAAAGACAAACAGAAACGTTCGATTTTTAAGCAGGACCACAGCAAAGGAAAGAAATG